ACAATTGGTAACAACTAAGCAAAGGAACATTCTTGTAGCAACTTCAACATTTGGAAAAGTTTCTTCTAATTTATCAGACTTTATTAGTTTATATAAGGTTGAGATACTCAAATCCACTGATTCCTTTACTATAGATACTATACATCCCGCATAGCGGAGCTCCTATTTCTGGATGGTTTATAAAAAAATAACCACGAAGGGGATGGAGGAGTCTGTTCGTTCGCTTCGCTCGCTTACTCGACCCAGCCAGCCTTCTAACCTAACCTGTCCGAGTCGGGGTGCCCCAAGTCCCGAGCTCGCTTCGCTCGCTCTTGCACCAAATAAAACACCAAAATGTTAACTTTTATAATTACTTTAATAAGTAAACATAATTTATTACTTCCACCATTTCCAACGTCGTGACATGACAAAATACTTCTAACCTACAAGGTAAAACTAGGAACCAATCACAATAATAATTGTCCTATAAACCAAAATCAAGCCAATCAGAGTTAAGTATATTCAAAGTTTCTAAAGCAAGCTAGTGTTTTCGCAAAACTCATTTTTCCAGTAAGATTGAGAAATGTCATAGCGATTGTCCAATTATTCGTATTTTCGCGATATGCCTACATTTTTTGCGGAAAATTTACTAAATTATCTTACGACACATATAATGTATCGATTAGAGGAATAAACACGAAATTTTTCTTTACGCGTGTGCTTCGTATACTTTTTCTTTCAGACTTATCTTTATAGTCAGCATTTGAATTCTTTTGTTTAGCAGCCGATTCTTACTGATCGAAATTCAATCGATATAATCAATTGGAGATTCGTAAAGTTTTGTTGCAACGTCCATGGTCATAGTGCTATTCTGTAAACTTTAGCTGGTTTTGTTCATAATTGCCAAAAGGTCATTCCTTATCTCCGTTAAAAGTATAGTATTCAATGGCTCCATTTTTTTGCTAGGCTTTGGGCTTCGTTTCTTGTTTCTCCTGGTTGATTGATGTCACTTGCAATCGAGGACAAAGCTTCAAAAAAAAAATTAAATAACCGTTTTGCAAAGCATTAATAGCATTAGCACGTGCAGATCATCTAGTATCCGGGAGAGACTTCATGACTTTATTTGCGCTCAAATGCTCTATTGTCATAATTTTCCAGCGTTTGGTCGAAGCCGAGAAAAAATTTAACAATTTTTGGATAAAGTGAAAGTATGCTACAACTTCGGAAACACATTCAACAGCCTAAACACCTGCTAAATTTAGCGAATGTGATGTGTTCTAGAAAACTTGCAGAAGTTTCGGAGAAGGCACAATTTTTATTTTGGAATAATAAGGGCCCTTCCCGAACCTAAATATCGCGTAATTCTTCTTTTAAAATTTCATCACAATACGTACTAGGATCAGGAGATACATTTTCCAAGCATGTAGTTATTAACTCACAGTAGCTTGAAGTAGAGGGTTCAGCATCTGATGTGTGTTGGTCATTTTTGTCTCACGTATGATCTTTTTCCTGTTGTTATTCGATCTTGAGGTGATGACGGTGAAGAATTAGTCAGCCTATTTGTTTCTTCAACCGTAAAAAATGATGTGAACTTAGGAAGGTTTTTTTTAGTTATTTCTTTCTGAGCCCAACTTTTTTCTTTTTTATGAATGTATATTATTTTGGACATAAAAATGAACAAATAAACGATTACGGTAACAGTTCCATTATCTTAAATAATTTCTATTAAACAAAACGAAATCACACCACAAACTTTAATTAGTTTCACTTTCTAAGTACTTTTTAGATATTTTTTTATAATTATTACAATGTCCACTGTTTAGAAAAAGATTAAAAAGTGGTATCCGATTAAAATTCGCTAAGCTACTACCTATATTCATGTCTTTTCCTATTATCAATTTTTAACCAACAACATTTATTTAGCTGTAATTATATAAATACATAGATTGCCGAAAATTAAAAAAAAAACAGGCTCTAAGTAAGGCGACCGTACAGCCCGACAAAAACGTTTAGATGGCGGCGAAACGCGGAACTATATTTTCTGCCTAGGAAATCTATCAATGCAACTTTTTCTGTCAAACTCGGCAATGTGTGGCTTGTCACTGCTCAGGGTTGCCAGAAAGTCACTAACAACGTCCTCATTTACTCTATAATTTTTTTTGTCGGGTTATATTTTCCGAAAATAGAAAAAAGATTCTATAGTGTAATATATCGGCCCTTTGGGGCTCCCGTGACCATAGGGGCCTAGGGCTTTCGGAAGTCTAAATCAGGCACTGTGTACGGCAATTTTTTTTACAGGATAGGGTGACAAACGAGCACACAGTCCACCTGATAGTAAGTGGTAGCTGTGGCCCATAGACATCTACATCTATCTTCGATTGCGAATCAAAATGCAGATGCGTTGTCACCCGCGAGGACTAAGATGGAATGCCTCGGTTCCAGTAAAAAGGGTCTCCGGTTCTCTACACTCACCATACGAAACACAGCAGTATTAAGCTGCCATTTTACGCTGTTATTCTGTGAGAGCGTGGTCGTTCCCCGGTCGAGCCTACCCATTTATGCTACAACTATAGTACTAATGTAGCTTTGGTACGTGGTAGAGCCATGCTGCAGCTATATTAATAGTATAGTTGTAGCATGAATGGGTCGGCTCGACCGGGGAAGGACCACGCTCTCACAGAATACCAGCGTAAAATAGCAGCTCAATGCTGCTGTGTTTCGTATGGTGAGTGTAGAGAACCGGAGACCCATTTTACTGGAAAAGAGGCATTCTATCTTAGTCCTCATGGCTGACAACTAGTGATGCAACGAATACTTCTTTTACGAATACGAATATCAAACCTACTATTCGGCGAATACGAATACGAATATCTCGCCATGGTAATAAAAACCTAATTTATTTGATGATTTTCTATTGTTCTAATAATTAAAATTTACAATAGGCAAACGTAATTTAAAAAACATAAAATTTGTGGATTTTCTGGTTTTAGGCGATTTCTTTTTTCAGTTGGGATGTTCCCAGCCGTAGAAAAAGTCTTTCCGATGCGACTGTACATAGCTTCAGTGAAAAATATTTTTGGGAGTCCCCGTCGTTCAGGCTAAGGGCCAAATCACACGTATTTTTTACGCGTCGAAGACGCGCCTTATCCAAGTCCGCCAGTAATTAGAGTTGCGTACAAAAATATTAGTTTTTCAATATTCGTGATCAGTATTCGCCGAATACGAATATTCGGCAAATGTTTACTATTCGGCGAATACGAATATTCGTATTCGTATTCGTTGCATCACTACTGACAACGCATCTGCATTTTAATTCGTAAATAAAGATAGGTGTAGATGTCAATGGGCCACAGCAACCACTTACCATCAGGTGGAATGTGTGCTCGTTTGTCACCCTTATTCTATAAAAAAAAGCATGCCTCTACCAAGTGAAAAATAAATATTTATCGTTGTATTAATTAAATATTAAGTTTAAGTGTAAATGAGTAGCGTGGTGGTGGTTTTAGCACGAATGGTGTGGCTCAGCCTGATAACGTCCACGCTCTCAAAGAAAATCAGCGTGAAATAGCATGTTAATTGTGCTATGATTCGTATGGTGAGTGTAGAGATCTTGAGACGCTTTTTACTGACACTGACGGGTGACAACGCATCTGTAATTTGATTCTTAATCGAGAATAGATAGATAGATAGGGCCATAGCATCCACTTATAATCAGGTGGACTGTGTGCTGATTTGTCATACTTATTTTGTAAAATAGAAAGGGATGCCATAGACAGAAGTTTATCGTCCAGATTGGCAACCTATTGAAGATGGAGTACCCAAAATAAGACTACCCAGAACCGATGAGCAGGTATGCGCAAATATATGGATGTGAAAGAAGCGAGAGAGATGTGTCAGGATCGTGCCAGATGGAAGTCCTTAGTTTTTGTCTATTCCTCTAGGTGTTAGGCTAAAGAGTTATTGATTAATTCTCATGTACCTAGGTGAAAGTTTCCGAAGGTTGGTGATTGCGTATTTCACATCACGTCAGTGCTACCACTTTGGTCGTCGAAGGAAAAAAGATCCCTTTTCGGGCAAAGCGGAGCGGCCAACGTTCCATAGTACGGAACTTCTATTAATTTGCAGTCCAGGTATTGTGTATGACCGCAGTGCGAGTGAGTAGCGACACGTGCGAGCGACGGATGCGTATAATTTTTAGAAAAACTGGAGAAATTATTGCACTCCGAGAGGCCGGGAGATTAACCATTATTACCGGAGTCTCCCGGGCAATCCGGGAGAGTTGGGAACCCTATTGGGAAACCTCGATAGCGTGAAAGCTTTCTCGGTTATTGTCCGTTGCTTGTGCGTCATTGTGGCACGTTGATAGAGGCGTCGCAAGTATACCAGGCATATACATTATGTATATTATGTACATTGTACACGTATGGATATTGGTCAGACCTCCTCGTATTTCCTAGTTTTTAATTCCTTACGCATGAAGCTGCTGTTGTTCCCCGTTACGCTTTCCTTACTAATAAGCACTAGTAAATTAATAGGTAATCTACATACAAAATTGCAAGGAAATTTTGCAACACTGTCGGTGGGAAACAAACTCAGATTATTTTTGGCCTAATAAATGACGAAATTAAGGCAAGAGGCAGGCAGCTGACCTACCAAGTTTATATTTAAAAAAGGCTATCAACAAATATAAATTTTTGTTTATAATAGTTAAGAGAGATGTATTTTTAAAACATCTCTTCGATAATCACTATTTGACGTTGAAGTATAACTTAAGTAAGTAGCAAAATGTTTATTTGTTTATAGTATTAACTGATTACATGATAACCTTGTTGAAAGTTTACATTTTTAATCGTTTTTGATGAGTAAATTAGGGAGCTTGGAAAATTCCAGGCACTATTATTAATTCGGATCTGAATTCATGAGGGGCTAGGAGATGGTCTGACGTAATATTACGTTTGTTAGGTATGTGGAGTATTTTTCCGTCGGTAGTCACTTGTGTCGTCTCTCGTCTAGTGCTTCTCAGTCGTTGGTTTATTTTAGGCGTGATCACATGCGGCAAGTTTAGCGTTTACAAGATCAACTGTAAACTTACGCACAGAATCACAGAATAGAGTATAACGTTAACGAAAAATAACGGATAAAGAAAAGGTTTGAAATAGTTTCATATTTATCTCAGTACACTTGTAAGTACAGGTTTAGGACAACGAATATTTTTAGCAAGAAATTTTATAACTTGTAAGTTCTAAGTATTTGTTTTATTTAATTTATATTTTATGGTTTATAATAAACAGTTCCATTTTCTCGGAACAGGATTATGAAAATATTGTACAGTATTGTGCGTATTAATACTCCGTGAAACCTAAAATAAATAATTATGCACGTTTTTGATTCTTGAATACATAGACGTTATTTATTATGTTTACGTTCACATCTCTTATCTTTGAATGATGCTATATAAAATATTCTGAATGCTCTATCTGTATATAACTCAATATTAATGCATTTATAAGCGTGCATTTGTAATCGAAAAGTGAGTATTTTTTTTTACATTCAATTGATTTAATAAAACTTAATTTGAAGTTTTGGATTCAATAATTAAATCTATTATGTCGCCTGTCGTATTTTTACTATTTGAAATAACTATCTTTAAGTGATGTGTTTTAGAACATCTATTTAACGTAAAGTTACAGCCTATATAATATATATGTTCCTCTTCTGGGAACAGGTTTCCTCTGAGAGGGTTTTAAGGCAGAGAAATGTCCATCGTGCTGCCTGCTGCTTGTTGGCGCTTTTTTATAGGATAGGGTGACAAACGAGCACACAGTCTACCTGGTGGTAAGTGCTTGCTGTGGCCCATAGACATGTACATCTATCCTCGTTTACGAATCAAAATGCAGACGCGTTGTCACCCATGAGGACTAAGATGGAATGCCTCTTTTCCAGTAAAAAGGGTCTCCGGTTCTCTACGCTCATCATACGAAACACAGCAGTATTAAGCTGCTACTTTACGCTGGTATTCTGTGAGAGCGTGGTCGTTCCCCGGTCGAACCGACCCATTCGTGCTACAACTATACTACTAATATAGCTGCAGCATGGCTCTACCACGTATATGTCACATGTCTACGAAATATATATTTTTATTTCTCAGTCATGCAGGTTTCCTCAAGGTGTACTCTTTAATTGCTGAGCACTTAAAATTGGAATTTACAATACGATAAAATTATTAGTCTAGCGGGGATCGAATCCGGGTTACTCGCGTAGGTAGGTAGGTACTGTGAAATTTACAGCTGCAACACAACAACTGACAATTACAATTGCAACTGAACTACCACGGTTCTATTTATTGACTGTCAAATAAATAATAACATTAGTAGTTTAGTTATAATTATAATATAATAGATCAATATTTTATAAAAGCATTAAACATATATTACATATTATTTTTAAGTTATAATTATAGATATCTCGTACATTGTTAGCACCCTCCAGGTACACGAGAAATATAGATGTATTGTTTTAGGTTAATTAGCACATTTAAAATTCGATAAGAGAACCGATCACTGAGAATACCTACTCATCATCATGATTAGCATAAACAGCCTGCGGATGTTCACTGCTGCACATTATCTCTCCAAAGGTTTATCACTTAGTTCATACTTCGGCTTTTAAGTTGTTGCTGCCAGCAGTTACATCAGTCACTGTCAGCCGCCTTGCGCAGCTCGTCGTTCTAGATGGAACGACGAGCTGCGCAAGTCAGGCTTGATGACTGGAATTACCTTACTTGACTTATATTTCGGATGATTCATAGAACATTGAACCGACGCGCCGCGCCTCCATTGTGCCTGCCTACCGGCGCGGCGCGGCGATTTTGTATCTGTTCTTTGTGGGATCATTAATTCGCTTGGCAACAGTGGGGCAAGGTCACGACATATCTACAAAGTAAAACTAATTGTAATTCCACGCTATAATGTTTGTTTAATATAATTTTTGCATGTCATTTCTAGTAGGTACAATATGGTCCTACAATATTTTGCATATAGGTACCTATTACAAGAATTTGTAAACACCAAAAATTTTTCTTCTTATTTTATTAGATAATGGCACGGCAGAACCAGGACATTTCTTCACAGGAAATCATTGCGCTGGAAGACAAGTATGGTTGTCGTAATTACTCTTCATTGCCTGTAGCATTGAGTCGTGGAGAAGGTAAGTTTAAACTTGAAAATTATAATGAATTATAGGTCACTCATGCTTACTCTATAATAATCATATATATAATCATATAAGACAGGTAAAATAAAAAATACAAATATAATTTACTATAAATATATTATTACTAGCTTTGGCCGCGTGGAGGTTAGAAATCGAATCGATCGAGAAATCACAGGTCACGTCTACTAACTACGACTAACTAATACTAAAGATATCATGAAAATCAAAAACATACAAGCGCTCACTCGTTTTGTGTAGATGAAAGAACCTTGTCATATTTATTTTAAAGTTCTGCACAGAAATTAACTCCTATTCTGTTACTTTAATTATTGTTTTTTGAAGTGGTAGCGAAGTAGACAGCTCGATAGCGCAGTGGCTAAGCATTTGACTGCGGCGTTATGAGGTCGCGGGTTCGAATTCCGCGCGGAATAAGTGCTTGTTTATATGTAATGAGTCCATGAGCAATTTTATATGTAAAACGCCCCACGATACAAAAGAAATTCCTAGTGTGAAAGTAGTGTTATTTTAATATTAAAAATATTTGAATATGCACTTTTATGCAAGTAGCGAGATTTATTTCAGCAAAAGCTACGCTTAAATTAACATACTAAAAACATTACATATAGAACAAAAAGAAAAAAAAATGTATGATGAAATATTCGTAAGAGGATTATAGTACCTATCTCAATTAAATTATGAAAAACATTATGTCACATGGCGGTATACAATTCGATAAACAAACTTAATATATTTATCAATGGTGTTAGTAAACTTACATTACAGCATGAGATAATAATATCTTGCAAGCAATAATAAACGGCAGATTTATCGTGTTGACATTTAATTGCAATGCACTTTTGTTGTTACACATTAATCAAGACGTTATTATGTTTGTAATAATGTATTGGCATATATTATCAGTGTATTGGAAAAATGTTAACTTATAAGCATAACGTTTCTAAGTTTTTTTATCTCAATTATGAACAATTTAAAATAGATGTGACAATGTACAGTATTGTACGTAGCGCTTCAATTTGTCAAGACCCAGCAACACTACACTATTTTGTAGTTTTGAGGGTCCACAAACACGCTTTAAGAAATGCAACGAACTTTTCTTGCTCTACAACTTTTCAAATAAGAGAAGGTTTTATAACTTTTTACATAGTAATGCAATTTATACGACAAGACTAAATCGATAAAATCTCTCACTTTAACTTTAAAGATTTTTCTTAATGAATATCATTTAAGGTTGCGGAGTTAATTGTTTTTGTGATTAATATAATATGTAGAGTGCCGACCGCAGTAGAGTATGACACATTCTTACTACTTACCACAGTTTTACTACTTACTAGTAAGACTGTGGTATGACACTGTAATCAGACCAGTGACCAGACACATACGCGAATTCACGGAGAGTTGCAGATGTTAGGAACGAAAAGTATTCTTTAAGAATAAGGATGACAAATGAGTGCACAGTTCAAATGGTTGACAACGCATCTACATTTTGATATTCGTAATCGAGGAAAAATGTAGATGTCTATGGGCCACAGCAACCACTTTTTTTTACATGGGGAAATGCCTACGCATACCCGCCTCGCGGGGGCAAGGACGGGTTATGTCGGACTCGCACCGACTAAAACCCCATGGTGTTCCACCTTCGTCGCATATTGGCAGGGTCACGGGAACGCTTTCGCACACATCCGCGGCCCCACCTGCGCTGGCCGCCCCACGGCGGCCTCTCCTCGGGAGAGGACTACTCCTCCCCCACCTCCTTCTCAGGTAAGGCGCACCAGAACACATGGCGCGCCCTCCTTCTCGGCCTCCAATTTAACATGCGCAACGGACGCCCCCGTGTCCGATGCGCGAAGACCATGGGGCCAGGAAAAAAACTAGCACTCAAAGCATCAGCCTTCTTGACCCCAGCGGCGGATCTGGTCTATGGCTCCGCCGCCAACTAAGATTCGGCTGCGGAGGGTAGGGAGAGCGGTGCTTCGCAATACCGACACTCCCCTCCCCCGTAGCCCCACCACCACCGCATCATTAACGGTGCGGCCCCGTCAAAGTCGCAGAGGATAGGGCGAGTGGCGCATCGCCATACCAACACTCCTCTTCCTCCGCGACTCCACCGCAGCCCACCGACACACATCCAAAGTGGGCTCGCCAAGCCCACTCGGAGTGGCCACCTCGGGCCGGCCCTACACCACGGGCCAGCCAAGGGGTTCCTCTTTGTTCACCGTAGGTGACCAAGCCACGGCTACTAAGCCCCCCGCCACGACAAGGCGGGAACCCGTTCGGGGGGGACAGCAACCACTTACCATCAGGTGGACTGTGTGCTCGTTTGTCGCCCTTATCCTATATAAAAACAAAAAAAAAATAAGCTGCTATTTTACGATGGTATTCTGTTAGAGCGCGGTCCTTCCTCGATCTAACCGACTTATTCGTGTTACAAATATAATATAGGTAGCTGCAGAAATAATATTTGTGCAAAACACAAATGTCTACTTCTGAGGCTTAGTTATGTTGTGAATGTGTCTTTGATAACGTCTACCTCCGATTGAATCGCATGAGTGGAATTCTTAATTATTGTATTTATCTACAGTTAACTTATAATATAGAATTTAATTGCCAGAATTGATTGACAGAGAATGTATATAGTATGCTGCTAGTATTGAAGAATAAATAAATGTTATTTATTGGAATTTGTCGATAAGGTCTAGAGTCTAGAGCAACCAGAGAAAAATGGTACATCCTATATACGTACTACTGCTGGGCACAGGCCTCCTCTCATTTCTGGGAGGGTTTTAGGCCAAGGAAATGTCCGCCGTGCTACCCTAATGCGTGTTGGCGAACTTCACATGTCTTCGAAATATTTTGTTTCTTATTTCTCAGACAGACAAGTTTTCTCACGATGTTTTCCTCCACCACCGAGCACGTGGTAAATCAGCGCTTAAAATTGCAATTAACAATTTCATTGGTGCCGGCGGGGATCGAACCCGGGTTGCTCGCGTACTGCAAAATTTACCAGCAGGAGAACATCATTATAATGACGGTAATCGCAGCAGAGTCTTCATAGACTGTCGAATGGATGGTTAGTGATATAAAAAAACGAATAGGATTAGACTAAACTATTTTTAACATTCTAGGTGTATTTGTGTGGGACGTCGAAGGCAAACGATACTATGACTTTTTAAGTGCTTATTCAGCCGTGAACCAGGGACATTGTCACCCAAGAATTCTTGAAGTACTTAAGCAGCAAGCTAGCAAACTTACACTTGTTTCTAGGTAAGTATATGAACAAGAACAAGAAGACATACTTAAAAACATTTCATTCAGTTTAGTCTTTGACTTAAATACTATTTTGATTTTTATGAAGACCGTAAATCTACAGAAACGATAAAACAAAACGATATTCAATTTTTCTTGTATCTATAATCGATAACTACTATTTTATGACACTTTCTTAAAAGGTTACCGTTACCGTAACAGCTTATTAAAAGTTCACTACTGAAAATAAACTTTCCCCATTGGTTGTCTCATAGGGGGAATATTTGGCATAATTGCTATTCATGGCAGGTGGGTTGGCAATTGCAGCTTCTTATCTTTCACTGTTATTATGAATACGCTGCTGTCCATCTTCTAATCTGTTTCTCTCTGTCGCCTCCTGTCACACATGCACGGGACTCTTATGGTAGTGGATATTCTTACACCGCCACTACACGGTAAAACGTTTATTTCATACAACATATTGTAACAAAAGCCCTGTGGCTCCCATTAATTGCGCTATCAGAATCAGTATTCAAACGTACAGAAATATCTTCAGAAAATTCAACCATAAAAAAATTTAATAAATTTTTATTTGCAAATCGTATGAGGTTTAATTACCTCTGCATTGTACGAGGAATATTAATATTGTCAAATACCATTCTGTCGTGTCAAATCTTCATTCCATTTTCAAAGACCGATTCGAGTGTTAGTTTAGGTTATGTAATGAAAAAAAAAACCCAATACAATTTACAAATAAAAATGTATTTAAATTAAATTAATTTTTTTACGGTTGACTTTTCTAAAGTAAAGTTAGTTCTATACGTTTGCATACTGATGCTGATAACGATTTTTTTTTTATGCTGATAACGCACTTAACGAGATGCATATGTTTTTGTTACATGTTGTATGATATTACTTAAATTCCAATTTTTTGATCATATCTATTTTTATTGCAAGGCCTGTCTTTCTAAAGGAAGTATTTCTTAAGCAATATGATCACTATTTTTTTTTAATTAGCGTTTTCTATTTTCTACCAATAATTATTTTTTTTATAACTATAAGGTTCCAAAAGTAGTAAAAAAGAATTAAAATACATTTTTGTGGTTGTGCTCTTTATTCAAATGGTTTCATTCTATTATATTGTCAAATGAATGATGCTTATAAATGTGCTTTATAGGTCAACTCACATAATATTCAGTGCCAGTAGATATTACACCTTTTAAAATGTACAGTAAAAAAAGTCCTAAAACCCTCTCAGAAGTCAGAAGTGATGGGATGCTTGTGCCTAGCAGTGGGACGTATATAGGCTGCAAACTAAAAAGTACATATTATGATATAAGATATAGCTGTGTAGCCCAGTGACGTGTTATCAATATCAGTTTAAATACTCTGTTACTATAATAAGATAAATTACTATTGTAATTTATATTATTATTTCGTCATACATTGATCAATCGTCATTTATCATTACGTAAATAAGTAATTTATCAAAACATTCGATAACTTACTTGATTGTTTTAAACAATCTACTCGTAGTTCTTTTCGGTAAATATATAAAGGGCAAGGAGAATGTCCGCCGCGCTGCTCCAATGCGTGTTGGTGAACTTCACCAGCCTTCGTAAATTTTTTTCTTATTTCTCAGACATGCATGTTTCCTCACGATTTTTTCCTTCACCGCCGAGCACGTGGTAAATCAGCACATAACATTGCAATTAACAATTTCATTGGTGCCGGCGCGGATCGAACCCGGGTTGCTCGCGTACTGCGAAATTTGCAATTTTTTAATCCCTGAGTTAGGTACCACGGCTCACATGGAGCATTTCTTAGAAATGCAATAGTAAGCGAATTTTTTAAATATGAAAAACGTAAGAAGTGTCAAAAAGCTTGCAGTCCATTAAATGGTAAGTGGTCAATGCAGTGCATAGCCACCTGTAGTCAATTTCAAACAAAGAAGGCCACATATACGTTGTAACCTCTGAAGACTGAGATGGAAAGTCTCAAAGTCTGTAACTCTCCCTTAAGACCAGAACGCAGTAGTGCAAGCAATGATATTGGGCAGCAGAAGTAGGTAAGAAGAGGAGGGTGTGTTATCTACCTCCTGAATCCTACCACCTATAAATTATAGTAAAGTTCAGTTAAAAACATTTCAGTTGTTATAACGCCACTGTCCTTTTTGGGGTTCCGTACACGAAGGGTAACCAACGGGACCCTATTACTAAGCCTCCGCTGTCAGTGCGTCTGTCTGTCAGCGGGCTTGTATCTCATGATCCGTAATAGGTAAACAGTTGAAATTTTAACAGAATGTGTATTTCTGTCGCCGCTATAACAACGAACAATAAAAATAAAAATAAATTAAAAATTAAAGGGGGCTCCCCTACTAGAAACGTGTTTTACGATGGTACGGAACCCTTCATGCGCCAGTCCGACTCGCACTTGTCCGGTTATTTGGAGTTGGAGTTGAGAGCGGATCTTAATGCTACAATTCCTACGGTTATGTTAAGTTGAGTTTAGGATGTTCCCATAAAGACGTGAAATTTTTTCAGAGCATTTTACTCGGATCAACTTGGCAAATATGAGAAATTTATGACGGAGTTATTTGGTTACGATCGTTTGCTGCCGATGAATACGGGCGTTGAGGGCGGCGAGAGTGCTTGCAAGATCGCACGCAAGTGGGGCTATGACGTCAAGAAGATACCGAAGAATCAAGCCAAGGTGATAAGTAGTATCTTTAGCATTCCGTATCCAAAGGGTAAAACGGAACCCTATTGATGTCACTCTACTGTCTGTCTGCCTGTCCGACGGTATGTCTGTCAGACAAAATGAGTCACAGACCTGTGTGAAATTTAAATATTTGTTGTGGAATGTTGACGGAAAACCGAAGATCTCTCCCCTCCCTCTTCCTCCCATTCATGTAATAGGAGACGAAAACATTTTTCTTACCGAAGCACAAGTATAGAATAAAAAATAATCATCAGCTTCGATTCAGATTTGGCCAGTTTTTATTACGGGGTCGATCACAAAAACCAAACTAAGTATTTAGTAATTCGAAATTTTTGTTGTAATGTTATTATAGTTAATTATGTTGATACTCGATAATGTAGTTTGATAAACAAATGAACGAACGTTTTTTAGTTTTTTTTCACTGGTTGAAAAAATAATTGCATAGTTTAAAGAAAGATAATTAGTTATAATATAATATGTATACGGAACGTCAATAAAGCGGTTTGTTAAGTAACGCGTGCATTCATTCGAGCGCAGTAAAATTATTTATTATGCGTACTTAATAATAATAATATCAACTCATGTGATAATATGTTATGTATGTGTTATGCATATTTTTAGAAATAGGTTATCTGTTGTTTCGGTATCAAAGTTTATTGTGGAACATAAATATACTTTAGCAGATTGGCAATTGCCATTTATGCATTTTATTATATATTTAGTTACAGTTTTGAAATTTTGAGGTGGAGGTGTTGAGAATTAATTGCTGTCTATTATAGTTAAAAGTAGACTCGATTGTCAAAAAACCTAGCGGTTTTTAACTCGGATGGATAAAAGACGCTGAATGCTATATACCTATTAGATCGGGAGATGGTGACAGAAAATAGTCTCCCATTTTCTCCTGCATGCCTTTTTAAGAATTGATACCTAACTAACCCTAAAATATGAAAGATATTTTTTTATCAACTTAAAATAATGTTTTTTAATGAAATATTGAATGGCATGTAAAATAAAGTCACGGAAATTATAACAGCGTTTTTTGCAATTTTCGTCATGCATGCCACTACTTTACAACTTCCTGTTGTGCATGCCAAATTTGCTAACGTCAATAAATTATAAAAATTAAGTATTGTTCAAATGGCATGCAGTTTGAAATCATGGAAAATTTGTATTGAATTTTCACATTTTCCTAATATTTTCCAGCCTTTGTCATACGATGGGTGCATGGCAATTTTCGTAGAGTATTTTTGAGATAAAAAAAAACTAATTTTTTACAACGGCATGCAATTTGTAAACACGGAAATGTTCTATTTTTTTTTCATTTCTACGTAACCCTTTGAGCTCCGTCGGCCGTTGCGAATTGCATGCCATCAATTATTATAGCTTAAATTTGTTCCAACTACGTTATATTACAAAGGCATGCAATATAATGTCACCGAAAAATACTAAAATTTTTTAAACAAAGAGAAGCCATTTTCTTTATGACGTGCAAGCGCGCAACGGCTCGTAACCTCTTTCATATTTTAGGGTTAGTTATCAATTCTTCAAGGCATGCAGGAGAAAATGGGAAACTATGTTCTGTCACCATCTCCCGATCTATATCGGGGAAGTCACCACCAAATCATTAAAATATACGTGGAAATATGTATCTAATTAAAGTTGCTAATTAGTTGCGCATGCCTAGACCATGCGGGTGCTCAATAATTAGGTACTTTTTTTATAGGATAAGGGTGACAAACGAGCACACAGTCCACCTGATGGTAAGTGGTAGCTGTGGCCCATAGACATCTACATCTATCTACGATTGCGAATCAAAATGCAGATGCGTTGTCACCCGCGAGGACTAAGATGGAATGCCTCGTTTCCAGTAAAAAGGGTCTCCGGTTTTCTACACTCACCATACGAAACACAGCAGCGTTAAGCGGCTATTTTACGCTGGTATTCTGTGAGAGCGTGGTCCTTCCCCGGTCGAGCCGACCCATTCGTGCTACATCTATATCAGTAATGTAGCTGCAGCATGGCTCTACCACGTAAAACATTTTGGAAAGAATAAGCGAATAACTACCCCATTAATTTTCCCCACACAATAGTGAAAATATATGCACCGGTATACACACGCACACAAATACAGCTAGCGTAAGCGTAAAAAAAAGGCTGTCATACAAAATTTTCAATTCTGGTCCATATTTCTTATTTGTAAATCTAATCACGGTATCTAGACAGTAATAGCATAATATTACTATATGACAATGATCGAGAAGGTTCCAAAGATATAGGATCTCTGTAAACGCTCATGAGCTGTGCGAATGAAACAAGCGTGTCGCGGTAAACGACCAAAACGTTAGAAACAATTATTTGTAATTGTATTCAAGGATGATCTTGATTTTATGTCTATTGGCTGTTGTCAACAGACACCATATTGACTCAGGGTGACAGCAGAGCCTTTGTCTATAGAAATTAAAATTATTTTTCAACCTTCCTGACCTTGAGTTGACCTCTGTAATAGGATCGTTGCCGGCCAGAACATCTCTTTTAAACTGATAGATCTATCTTAGATTTTAATGAAATAGCTAACGTGTCGGGCGGTGGACGCATAAGAGATGCTTTTTGTCCCGTGAATTTTATAAGAGATGAACTGTAAAATCCTACAAATATCTCGTGGCTTCGAACTGATTTCGGTATAACTATTTCGTTTAATCCAGACGTAAAATACTTGGACCGGTGAGGGGAGAATGGTCAAAGGTGCGACACGTCTGAATCGGAAATCCGCCTGCGAAGCAAAACTTTTCTTCAACGAGAGTGCACCCTCTAGAATCTAGATATTTCTTCACTCTCAGCTGTGAGAGATCAGGCGCAGTATAAACGGCTTTACGTGCTTTCCGATGCATCGGCATGAAACATCGGTATATTCCTGATTCCAAACTGTTACTGACAATTACTTCTCAGAAAAACCCAATAATTGATTTTTGCCGGGAGTATTGTAAGATTGTAACTATATCATTAGCAGTTACGCTTACGACCACAGCCAGGGACAAAAATTTTATCCCCCGATTATATCCACTGACAAGAGATAAAATTATCTTGTTATGTCAAACGGGGAGAAGTATATCCCCGTTTGACATATATCCCCCATCCGTAGCATGGAGCCAAATGAAAGATAAAAAATTATGCTTTTTTGTCATTTGAAAGGGACAATTCTATCCTAGTTTATTGGACGTGGATTGAAGTTTATATTCATACAAAAAAATCTATCTAAGTCTATCTCCCAATTTATCTACTGTGGATACTATATCCACCGTTGTGCCCATGCTCTAAGGGTGGATAAAACTAAGCGAGGGGATAAACATTTTCTCCTTTCCCCGGGGATAAAATTGTCTCCTGCCTGTGCTAGCCCTGCTGGACCTGCGAAGTAGTCGTTGGTTTAGTAGTCGCAAGGGCGACCAACGTCAATGGAGTTTACGCATATTTTGAACCTTTTGTAACTACAACTACATACGTTTGTTTTAGATAATTTTTGCCGAAGGAAACTTCTGGGGCCGGACGTTGTCAGCAATTTCTTCGTCGTCGGATCCTACTTGCTACGATGGATTCGGTCCATACATGCCTTGCTTCGAATTGATTCCCTACAATGATATCCCGGCTTTAGAGGTTAGTACGATTTTATATGCACAATTATGAAATTTGTACACAATTTATATATTAAAGCTTTTATGGTTGCTTGCACCACTCCACACACGGAGTTTAAGGAAATCGTGTAGTGCCAGTATAAGTCACAGGAACTTAATTCTGTTTGAAGAAAATAATTAAAGTCAAAATAAAATCAAGTCAAATAAAATGCAAATAAATAATTCAATAATAATTGCAGAAAGCACTACAAGACCCGAATGTTGCCGCATTCATGGTGGAGCCCATTCAAGGTGAAGCTGGCGTAGTGATCCCAGACGACGGGTACCTGAAGAAGGTCAGGGAACTGTGCACCAAATACAATGTACTGTGGATTGCCGATGAGGTGCAAACTGGTTTAGGTAATTTAACGTAAAATTTATGTACTCATGTTCGAACTTCCTCAATACTTATTATCATTGCCACTATCGGAGACGCATGAAGAGGGAGGTGCGAGGCTAGCAACACGGCCGCCGAAACCTAATTCGTCCAAGTTCAAGGCCGAATCACTTGTATCCCATTAGAGAATAACTACTTTTAAATTATCATCTGACGGGTTTTACCTAGGGTGAATGCCCCTATTAATAGCCTTGTAGTGCCAATTCAACTTTAATTTAAACTTTAAAAATGTTTATTATTTTAATAAGAGCACAATATTTTTTAAAATCTAGGTTTAATCGATAGGTCATTTATCCAAAAATATAATGAGCATTCATTTAGAATTATATGATTTCAAGGACACTTTCAAAAATGACAATAAACAGAAAAAGGTGTAATGCCTCATATTGTAGCCATCCTGTGCCGAATGTCATCCTTTCGTGTCTCTAATGTCAGCTATCATAGGGTTATGGCTTTTAAGTTTTTGGTAGTTACTTATTGTAGGTAAGTTTTAGATGCACAGTAATAAATTCGTAACAACTTTCTAATTTTTAACTTTCCGACAAAAGATCGCCACACTTTGTCTAGGTCCGAATTCTTCTAGGTCCTTTACGTCTTGGTACTCGTATATTTAATGATATCTTGGTCTTTCCACTGAGCGAAGTCCAGAAGATCGCCCTATATACGCTATCTTTACCGCCCGGTCTTCTCCCATTCGCACAATATGTCCAACCCAGCGCAGTCGTATGGCTTTTATTTCTCCCAGGATGTTAGGGGTAGAAATTATGTCCTATATATGTTATCAACCTTAAATAAATTACTTCACCCACTTAATACTGCTATACTATTACTAACTGAACTTAGGGTGGGTCTTTGGGTCGTTGGATATTTAATCTTACTAAGTTAATAGTTGTAAATTACTCGATTTATGATAATAAATACAAAGGAAATTTTCTTTCAGGACGTACGGGAAAAATGTTAGCCGTTGAACACGAGGGCGTGAAACCTGACATTGTTATACTGGGTAAAGCGCTCAGTGGTGGGATGTTACCAGTGTCTGCTGTGTTAGCCAACAATAATGTAATGGATGTAAGTTACATTTCGGTTGTACGTATCAATTATAGAGAATGATGTTAAGTCATAGGCAAATTATTAATCTCCCCTTTACTTAACACTTTCACTGTCCGGTTTGCAGACACAATAGTAAGACAATAGCAATGACCTATATGTAGTGCACGGGACAGCGAAAGGGTTAAATTACCTATTTTTTTTACTTTATTTTTGACTTCCTTATTGTGACCGCTGATCATGATGTCCCAGGTTCGAAAATCAGTCATTGGGTTTTTCTGTCAGGAAATTCTTAGTAGCTGCCGGGAGTCAGGAAGCTGGCCATGTTATACCTCCTCTTGATCTCTCTTTGGTTGTGTCAGATTATATGACTATGAGAATAGGGGAATAGAGAAAGAATATGCACCTCTGTACATCCTGATCGTGGACCCTTAATGCGCAAACGTAACATTCATCTGGGAAACTACGTACTTAGCCCAGAAGATGTGAAACTGCTCGTAACTCATTCAATTAATTAAAGATATAGGGCTTAACAGTGAACTATAGTAATGGCAGCGATCACAATAGACACGCAGTCGCAGTGATACTGGTCTTATCAGACTTGCATAGCTGCTTCCATAAATGAAAAAAGGGAATAGAGAGTGCTTTTATGTTCTTAAACTGAGTGACAGGATAAGAAATAGTGAGATAAGGAAACGTTGTGGTCTGAAAGAAGATGTAGTGACAAAAATTGAGAAAGGTATGCTGAGATGGTTTGTCCATGTCGAGAGAATGAATGAAGTACGATTGACGAAAAAAGTGTATAAGGCGAGTATGAATGAAAGTGTTGGAAGGGGTAGACCTAGGCGGACGTTTTTAGAACAAATCAGGGACGTCTTAAAAAAGGCCAGGTCAAGAGTACCCTAAACCGAAGAGCATGTATGAAGGGAATAATGAAAGTGGACGAAGCGAAACAAGTATGTAAGGATCGTAGCAAGTGGAAAGAAGTGGTCCCTGCCTATCCCTACGGGAAAGAGGCGTGATTATATGTATGTATGTTCTATGTTTGCGCGCACACACATGCAGTATAGAATAGAATAATTTTATTCAATGTGGATTATAAGTAATCATTGAAAGTCATTTCTTTTACTTTTATCACCTTTATAATTCTGTCTTTCGCAGATGGTTAGTCTCCGTTTATACTGGCCACCATGACTTAAATTCGGTCCAGAGTAACAATTATCGATGTAGCTTAAGCCTAAATATCATAAAGTACATACGCCACTGAAGTATTTATACCTTCCAGGTAATAACACCCGGTACTCACGGATCAACATACGGTGGCAATCCTTTAGCGTGCGCAGTAGCTACCGAAGCAATTAAGGTGAGAATTTATAATACAAAGCATTCTACAACAGTTTTAAATTTGAAATAATTAAAATTTGTTTTAGATGCTATTTTGTGATTACAGTGGTGATGGCAAAATAATTCTGCATCAGTCATCAATTTTTTTAATGATATTGAAAGGGCAAAGAAACACAGTCTCTTTTTAGAGGTGGTGTACGTCCCCAGAACATCGGCGTGCTTGGTCGTGTAGTATCAGTATAGTCTTCTACCTTATATACCGTGGGTATCGTAAAAGATGACAGAAGGAATCTGAAATAGGAGACGAGCAGCAGAATTTTCTTGATAATAACGCATAATAGTAAAAAACTACGGTTGCTAATGCGCCTGCTAAGCAGTGGGTACTTAAAGGTGATATAGGCTGACGGTCTCTTAACCGCGATTTTACTCGTATATAAAAACGAAAATTCAGAAAAAATCATGGCCTCTGAAATAAGACGTAATTACCATCTCGAATATTCCAAATGGAGAATATTTAGTCTAGTGAAAAGGTAGGGTAATGAGAACCACTAAAAACTAAACATATAAATACATTTTAAACCACTTGCTGACTATGAGTTTTACGATGAAGCCGATTAAAAGAAGATTCATGACTTCGTTTAACCCTCAAAATTTATCTATCTCATTCACAAATTATGACACAAATATGATGCTTAATTGCTTATATACATAAATTGTATATAAGCAATTAAGCATCATATTTTGTGAACTGATTTGATACATACAGCTGCGCGGGTTAAAAACTACAATATACTAAACAGGAACCCAATCACACTTATTGTAACATTATTTTTATGAGTGTAAGGCCAGAAAAAAGTTTTTTTCATTTTGTTATTATAATTTTTTATGACTATGGATATAGTTTAGTTTTTTTGCCGACGATATAGTCCTTATGGCAGAATCGCTGGAGGACCTAAGCACTATGCTCAATGACCTCAATAGTGTTTCCCAACGGATAGGTCTTAAGATGAACATGGACAAAACAAAGATCATGTTTAATGTCCATGTCACACCTATGCCGGTAGTTGTTGGGAACACTAAGCTCGAAGTTGTTGACGAGTATGTTTACCTGGGACAAATAGTCCGACTAGGTAAGTCCAACTTCGACCGAGAGGTCAATCGACGGATTCAACTCGGCTGGGCAGCGTTCGGGAAGCTACGACACATCTTCTCGTCAGGTATACCTCAAAACTTGAAAACGAGACTGTACACCCAGTGCGTGTTGCCAGTGATGACATACGGAACTGAGACGTGGTCCTTCACTGCTGGCCGGATGAGGAAGCTCAAGGTCGCTCAGCGAGCTATGGAGAGGGCTATGCTCGGAGTTTCCCTGCGTGATAAACTCAGAAATGAGGATATCCGCAGTAGAACTAGAGTGACCGACATAGCCCAACGGATTAGTAAGCTGAAGTGGCAATGGGCCGGCCATATAGCTCGAAGAACCGACAACCGATGGGGAAGAAAGGTTCTCGAGTGGCAGCCTCGTACCGGCAGGCGAAGTGTAGGGCGTCCCCCCACTAGATGGAGTGACGACCTGGTAAGATATGCAGGAAGTCGATGGATGCAAGTGGCTCAGGACTGTGCTTTGTGGCATTCTTTGGGGGAGGCCTATGTTCAGCAGTGGACTTGTGAAGGGCTGTAATGATGATGATGATGATGATGATGATGACTATGGAGAAAATTGTGCTCACGGTGGGAGAATCATTCTGGTTGTATAGTACGCTAGTTTTTTAATTTATTTATTTGCTTATTATTATATGAATTTTATAATTAATTCTCGTTTTTTTTGCTTATTTTCAAGGTAATACTAGAAGAAAAATTATCGGAAAACGCTGAGCGACTTAGCGCAGTATTTCGTGAAGAATTAGAAAAGATTCCAAAGTCCAAGGTCACCACAGTCAGGGGCAGGGGACTTATGTTCGCCATTGTCGTAGATAACAGTAAGTTGAATTACACAATGCACTATAGGGTTGTCAACTCTTCTCATAATTTAAATTCCGCTAAATTGGTTAATGTAGCGTTTAGCTAATAGTCCACCAGATAATATATAAGATAGCTCATGGAAACTTGGAACTAACTTCAGACAAAGATGGTCAGTCATTCGTTGTCACCGTTCTGTTCCGTTCCATGGTGTCCTAGAGAGCACAGATCCTACCCTATTAAGCCACTGCAAGATAGCGCTGGAATTTTTTCTTGTGTGATTAGTACATACGGTCGTATGTGCCATCTACTCTCCCCCTGAAAACATGGTGAATCATGGTGATCTTTAAGTTTTGGGCCATTATTGTCAACCCTGAGAAATAAATTGGAATGCCGTGTATGCTAACCATATTTCTAGTAATTAATGGTAATTATAGAAGTGTGGGGGTATCATACAGTTTAATCTCTCCACGCTTCATTCATATAATCGGGTGCATTTTTATTAAATGGGTTTTTGTCTGTACTTACTTAAATTTGTTCCTTTCATACCAAGGTCATTTTTGGCGACTAGGTATTTCTATCAAAGTTAACTGCTAGCCCGATAACAATTAAACCTAACCGTAGAAAGGGTCCACCGTGTAGTGGTGAGAGAATCCACTACCCCATATCATCCCGTGGGTGTCGTAACAGGCGACAGAGTGAAAAGAAAAAGGAGATGGGCGGCAACATCTTCCCTATAACAACCCAAAATAATATAAAAAATTGCCTGCCAAGCATGGCAGGTATGGCAAATCCCTTATGAGGCAATTTATAGGGGAGGCCTATGTTCAGCAGTATAATAGCCACCCTTGCTAGTAGATTGGCGATCGCAGAACCAGATGTCTCTGAGTAATTTACATCTGGCGTGACGGGATGGCTATATATGGCGCCATCTAAAGAAAGGAACGGTAAACAGGCTGTAAGTTTCTTTAAAAAAAAAAAAAGATAATGTTAGTAATATTTTTTTTTAATTTAAGGTTATCAAACGAGCACACAGTCCACCATCTATCCGAATTTCGATACATTTGCGATTGAATCCGATTGAGAATCAAAATGCAGATAAGTTGTCGCCGCAGTAAGAAGGGTACCTATCCGGTGTTTCGTTTGATAAGTCCAGAGACATGTTACACGAAACCTCGCAGCATTAAGCTAATATTTCACGCTGTATTCTGTGAGAGCTTGGTCCATCCCCGGTCGACCCATTCGCGCTACAACCTTAATATAGCTGCAGCCTGGCTCTACCACGTACGACAATTAGATTTGTTGTTTCGTACCCTATATTACTACCGACTGTTTGCTTGCGTATGCTAGGAATGGTTGACGACAGCACTACGAGTACAAAAACGGATATAAAGTTTTGACGTCAAGATTTGCCGACCGTAATTTAAATTGTTCTTGACTGAGTTGTTTTAATGATCTAATTACTGTGTACAGTAAGCAGAGATAATCTCAAGTTTGAACCCACACTACACAATGTCAAAATATGAAACCAGACCGGTTCAATGCGTCAGCAATTTTGACATTGTAAAATTTGAGCTTAAGTTCCGGATTTTCTCTAAATACCCGCTTGACTGCTTATACATTTATATATTTTTTTTATAACAGGTATCCCTGCTTATGAAGTCTGCCTGCGATTCCGTGATGCGGGTTTACTCACTAAACCAACACACGGACAGACGATCCGTCTAGCGCCACCATTAGTTATCACTGAGGAGCAGATTCGTGAAGGCGCGAGAATCATTCAAAAGGTCTTTGAAAGCTTTAAGAAATAAGATTTCTTGGATAAACATACTATGTTAACGACCTGTCCCAACCGGGGCGAAACGCCTCTGCAATTTTCACGGCCGGAATGGACAAAAAGTCACTTGTGATCAACCATGTTTTTACAGAGCAAATACATTTTACGTGCTAATTTCTTGCTTTTGTGCTCATTATTAGTGTAATGTATTCTTAAGAAATGTCCGGTTGAGCATATAAGACAAATAAAATATTTTTCTAAAATGTAATTATTAATAAGTTTGTAAATATGTAAGTAAAAGTCCATCAAACCTAATAAATTATTCCTTTAGTAACTTAGAATTTGTTTTATTAACTGCATGTGCGTATAAAAAGAAGAATTATTAAAAAATAAATTTTAAGTTAGTTATTTCATGAAAATAAATAAATAAGCAATATACAGGTTTACGCACCAATCTCGGCACATCCCGATGATTAGGTGGAGAAAATGTATGAGGATATCTCTAAAGCCATGCATTCCTCCAAAACCCACTACCACTACACGGTGTTAATGGGAGTCTTCTAGGCACAAGAGAGAACGGTGAACTGAAGGTAGGGAAATTCGGAATAGGGCAACGGAACCAAAGGGGCCGACTTCATGGAGAAAGAGGGATTCTTTATGATGAACTCTTTCTTTCAGAAGCGGCAGCCCCACATGAAGTGGACCGACGGTTCACAAAAAAGTGAGATTGACTTCATTATGACGACCAGAAAACAACTGTTTAGTGATGTCGCAGTGATCGAGAGGGTGAAATTTTTTTTATAGAATAGGGTGACAAACGAGCAAACAGTCCACCTGATGGTAAGTGGTTGCTGTGAACCATAGACATCTGCATCTATCCTCTATAAAGAATCAAAACGCAGATGCGTTGTCAACCGTGAGGGCTAAGATGGAATGCCTCTTGTCCAGTAAAAAGGGTCTCCGGTTCTCTACACTCACCATACGAAACACAGTAGCGTTAAGCTGCTATTTTACGCTGGTATTCTGTGAGAGCGAGGTCCTTCCCCGGTCGAGCCGACCCATTCGTACTACAACTATACTATTAATATAGCTGCAGCATGGCTCTACCACGTAGAGCTGGTAAAACTGGTAGCGATTACCGAATGGTTAGAGGCACACTGAACCTAAACCTTGGAGAGGTTTCGTATAATGAAGTCAACGCTCCCTCCCCCTCGTGTTCTCATCCAACGTCCCGAAACCCTTGAACTCGAGTTACAAAACCGTTCAGTTCAGTGCCTTTAATAAGAAATGCATAACAAGCTCGTGGAAACTGTCCATGCAGTCGGAGCTAAATTCTGCAACACCCGCCGCAGAAGAACACAAAACTCTCCGATCACACTCGTTAATCTCATGGCTGATAGACGGGAAATGAAGCTGCTGTCTTCAACAGATTTGACAGCATACAGGCAACTGAACAGACAGATCTCCAAATGAATGCGGTGGGGCTTCTTCAATACTGCTTGTATTGAGAAGCGATCGAGCGGAATCAAGGCTCCAAAGTCTTTGCCAGTGATCTGTCAGCCAGAAAGAGCCAACTGTCAAAGTTGAAGATCGAGTGTGGCAACGTTGTTTCCGGGACAATTGCGATTTTGAGTGATCTTGAGAGGTTTTATGGACAGTTGTACACGTCATCGTTGGAGCCAAACGTAAGTATGAGTAATGATCCAAGAGCGAGTCTTATCCGACACTATTTCGAAGATATCCCGGATGTCAGTCTGAGCGGGATTAGAATGGCTCTCCAGCACCTTAAAAACGGCAAGGCTCCAGGCGAGGATGGCATTACAGCGGGGCTTCAGAAAGCCGGTACTTGGCTTCAGAAGCTCTTAAATTGCGTTCTCTATGGTAGGACTACTCCGGGGGCCTGGAGCAGAAGTTTGGTGGTCCTGTTCTTCAAGAAAGGTGACAACGTTTTCTTGAAGAACTACATACCGATTTCCCTTCTGAGCGGCGTTTACGTGCTGTTTTCGACAGTCATTACGAATCGTCTCGCACGTATACTCGACGACTTCCAGCCTCCTGAACAAGCCAATTTCCGAAAAGGCTTTTGTAAGGCTTTGCCTTGCGTATGGACTATGAGGAAGCCTTCGACTCTATCGAAATTTGGGCGGTGCTACAGTCCCTCCAGCGCTGCCAAGTTGACTGTCGGTATATCGAAGTACTAAAGTGTTCGTACAGTAGACCTACAATGGCTATCCGAGTACAGAATCAGAGTACGAAACCTATTCAACCGCAGAGAGGTGTAAGACGTCACCCTGGACGTTATATTCCCGAAACTCTTCCCCGCTGCATTGGAAGACGTTTTCAAGCTACTGGACTGGAAAGGATACGGTATTAACATCAATGGCGAGTACATCACTCACCTTCCGATTTGCCGACGATATAGTTCTTATGCCAGAATCGTTGGAGGACCTATGCACTAATGCTCAATTACCTTACCAGTGTCTCCCAACGGTTAGGTCTTAAGATGAACATGGGCAAAACAAAGAGATCATGTTTAAAGTCCATATCACACCTATACCGGTAGTTGTTGGGAGCACTAAGCTCGAAGTTGTTGACCAGTATGTTTACCTGGGACAAATAGTCAGACTAGGTAAGTCCAACTTCGACCGAGGTCAATCGACGGATTCAACTCAGCTGGGCAGCGGTCGGGAAATTACGACACATCTTCTCGTCCGGTATACCCCAAAACCTGAAAACGAGATTGTACCACCAGTGCGTGTTGCTGTGATGACTTATGGATTTGAGAAGTGGTCCTTCACTGCTGGCCGTACGAGGAAGCTCAAGGTCGCTCAGCGAGCTATGGAGATTGATAAACTTAGAAATGAGGATATCCGCAGTAGAAACATAGTGACCGACATAGTCCAATGGATTAGTAAGCTGAAGAAGCAATAGGCCTGCCATATAGCTCGAGGAACCGATAACCGACGAGGAAAAAAGTTTCTAGAGTGGTAGCCTCGTACCGGTAGGCGAAGTGTAGGGCGACCCCTCTCGTACCGGTAGGGAGTGAAGACCTGGTAAATCATGCAGGAAGTCGATAGATGTAGGTAGCTCAGGACCGTGCTTTGTGGCATTCTTTGGGGGAGGCCTATATTCAGCAGTGGACTTGTGAAGGGTTGTTATGATGATGATACAGGGTTAGTTTTCAAGGAGTGACCAAATTTTATTTTTAAGTTCAAGTATAAAGATAATGATACCGTTAATGCAGTTTTTGAAAATACGAGTAAATAAGGCTTATACTTTTATTTGAAATTATCCCAAATTGGATGTGATTTTTGAGCAACAACTACGCGTACGCACGGTTTACCGACCGAGCGACCCTTATGAATGTGTGCGTGGGTAGTAAAATAGTAGGCGTTAGATATTTATGAATGTCAGTCGGTTAAAATAATGCATGACCACGCATTTTGGATTTAAAAGATAAAAAGGACAGAGTATAGTTGATTTTTCTTTACTAATACCCTTTATTACTGATTCTGAACCTTTTCTGCAAATTTGAGCGTATATTGAATATAAAATAACCCTGATTAGCATGACTTAAACAGATGAACTTAAAAATCACTTGTGACAAACGGTCTGTGACTCAGTAGCAGGAAGTCCATTACTACTGGTACTGCTAACACACACAGCCACAGCTTTTGCACATTAACCATACATGGTCTTAGGCAAATGATGAAACACACATAAATTAAAATAAAACGAATAACTAAAAATATAATAATGTTATATAATAACTTGGGAGGGTATTAGAGCCGCAGAGCCATTGACTGCTGTTGAATTAGCCACTTGCGGCATTTTGCCGAAAGTTCGTTAATTACTTCAGTTTTGTAATAAAAATTCAATGGCAACAAATCAATTTTGTACGAGATGCTACGTTATGATTCGAACTTAATCACGCCACAGCGGTGACACTCTCTGTACGTGAGAGTTCAAGCGCCGGTGACGTTTAGGCGGAGCGTGTAACGCTAGGGTTGATACCGAACCGAAATGGAATATTATATACTTGTGCCAAAGAAAATACATAGTAGGTATATGTTATATAATGTAAACTTATGTATTTAGGTAGTGAAAGATACGCTCAATTTTAAATCAACTTTTATTAAATATCTTTACAGATGCGGAATATTAAAATTTCCGACAAAACAAAATATGCACGACAGTTATGGTAACCTTAAATAATTAACCAACACTTAGTATTTCAGTACGCAATAATGAGTCTTACCTACTACGCTTTAAAATTACTTACTCTTATATATTTTTGACTTTTTCGATGACTTTTATAATTTTTATTATTATTTCTAACAATTGCAAAAATTCGTAGCCGTATGTATAATTTTTTCAGAATATCCATAGGGAAGCATATATAGATAGATATATAACACTTTATTGTACGCCAAAAATGACATAAATATATTATTTACCACATTTAGCATTATATGCCACATTACTTTTTCTCATTTTATGTTAGATCGCTCTTAGCGATAATACCAGCCATTGGGGTGGTCTTATCGCTAAGAGCGATCTCTTCCAGACTACCTTTGGATGGACAGGATTGCAAGAAAACAATAAAAAAGTGTTTGTTTTGGCCACAAAAATAACATTATTTTTATTAAAGCCATAAAATAGAAATATAGAATGGTATATAAGCACATAGATAAGATAAATAAACAAACATATATATATATATATATATATATATATATATATATATATATATATATATATATATATATATATATATATATATATACATATAAATATATATATTTATCATCATCATCATCATTACAGCCACACAAGTCCACTGCTGAACATAGGCCTCCCCCAAGGAATACCACAAAGCACGGTTTTGAGCCACCTGCATCCATCGACTTCGTGCATGTCTCACCAGGTCGTCACTCCATCTAATGGGGGGTCGCCCTACACTTCGTCTACCGGTACGAGGCTGCCACTCGAGAACCTTTCTTCCCCATCGTTTGTCGGTTCTTCGAGCTATAT